GGAGACACTTTTACCAGAACACAGACTTTACCCAACACAGAAAAGGTAAGACAAAAATGACTACCAAGTTTTGCAATTTAATTGTTTAAGAAATGTTTATTAATTAGTTCTGGACGGGATTTATAGTAGAAGTAGTGGCAATATAATTCAGATTTGAAAGAATATTGCACGATTTAGTTTTTGTACATCTGGCACTCTTCTGAAAGTCTATGTCGTTGTCCATGGTGCTAGAAAAAGCGCCGGATTTAGTGTGCGGCTTGGAAAGAAATAACAGGTTAATTTGTGTCCTTTATTCACTGCTGATTGATCTGATGTTGTTTTGGTTTAAAAACAACATATGGTGAAATTTTGCAGTGGCTCATTGCATAAGCCTGAATAATTAAAAACAGCCAAATAAGCTTTCATTGTGTTCCAAGGTCTGCTATAGTTATATATTTTCATAGTTACTGCGTTGAACCACGGAGAGAGGGGTGGTGCGTCTTGATGTTTCATTTTTATATCTTGGTTTTAGATTGAGTGGTTTGGAAATATCAACCTTCTGAAAAGTTTGAATAAAATAAAACTAAATCATGTATAACATTGTGTAAAATGAACTAAGATTGTACTGAATTGTGTTAATCATTTGAGGTGAATTTTTGTTTCATATGTAGTTGTTTTTCTATCTCCCAATGAATTTGGAAACATTTTAAACCACCACTTGGTGACACCAAAGACCATGCCATCTTTTACGCGGCACAAACTCCTCCCTGAACAGAAGCTGTATTTTTTTCTGTGCTTTGTTAGGAAGGGACACTGGGCGGAGGGGAAAACGAGCAATCGTGGTGCGTTTAAAATTAGGACAGATGGACCTCTGGTTTTTCATATACTTATGACTACTTACACGTGGAAAAACGAGCTAGGATTTTTTGCACTCTTGGATTTGACACCATCATATATATCTCGAAAAGAATGAGCCCATTTCGGACTTGCATTGCAGTCGTGCTGCTGACTTTCTGCTCGGGAACAGTGTCTGGGCAGCTCTCGTATGCAGTCACAGAGGAGGTAAATCCTGGGACTTCGATTGGAAATATTGCGAAGGATTTAAACATCAATTTTCAGGATTTGGAGTCCCGCGAGTTCAAGATTGTTGGTGGATCAAAAAGGAAATATTTTGATGTCAATCTAAAAACGGGTTCGTTCTACGTAAATGAAAGATTAGATAGAGAAGAGCTTTGTGCGAAGGCTGCAAAATGCATCGTGAGTATAGAGGCCGTGATAAACGAGCCACTCAAGCTTTACCGTTTAGAGATAACAATAAAAGATATAAATGACAATGCGCCTACTTTTTCCGAGCAACTGCAGTCGATTGATGTCCCTGAAAATACATTACCGGGAGTCAAGTTTGGACTGATAGAAGCATCAGATTTGGATGTTGGAAAGAACGGAGTAAATACATACAAGCTCAGCAGCAACGACTATTTTTCCTTAGAAATTCACAAAGGGGGAGACAGTGTATCTGCAGATCTGGTGTTGCAAAAGGCATTAGACCGTGAGCAGGACTCTGTTATAAAGCTCACACTGAGTGCAGTGGACGGAGGAAATCCTCCACTGTCAGGGACCTCACAAATCATTATCAACGTTCTGGATACCAATGACAACCACCCTGTTTTCAGTAAATCTTTATACAAAATTCAGATAGCTGAAAATCTGCCAACGGGTTCTACCGTTATCACTCTGAATGCTACGGATGCGGACGAGGATTTAAACAGTGAAATTGAATATTCCCTGAGAAAGAAAGGCCAGAATCATGTTTTAGATCTTTTTCAAATCGATTCTGAAACAGGTGCGATTATAACCAAGGGCACAATAGACTACGAAGAAAATCCTGCGTTTGAGATTCATGCTCAGGCAAGTGACAAAGGCCAGCCTCCTATGTCTGCTCACTGTAAAGTGCTCGTGGAGGTTGTGGACCTCAACGACAACGCGCCTGAGATCACTGTGACGTCACTGCTGACGAATGTGAAAGAAGATGCACAGGCAGGTACAGCTGTTGCTCTCGTCTCTGTGGTTGACAAAGACAGAGGTAAAAACGGGGAAGTGAAGGTTTCCATTGCAAATGAGAACCCCTTTAAACTGGAAACGAATTATCGAAATTACTACACGCTAGTAGTCAATGGTCCGCTTGACAGAGAGGCTTTGGATGAGTATAATGTTACCGTAATAGCAACCGATGAAGGCAGTCCTCCCCTTTCTAGCACAAATATACTTAATGTTCAAGTTTCTGATGTCAATGACAACCCACCGCGCTTCACAGAACAAGTACTTAATGTTTATGTAAAAGAGAACAGCCCAGTTGGAGCGGTGATTAAAAGTTTATCAGCGGTGGATGCAGATATAAACAAAAATGGCGAGTTGAGATACTCTTTTCTAAAAAGTAACATTAACACATTACCGTCATCTACAATGGTGAACATTAACTCAGAGACTGGAGACATAGTCAGCCTGCAGTCTTTTAA